AAATTCCAAAGACGATAATGGCTTTCTCACTAACAACCCCAGCTCACGGAACCACCGCCACTGCCGCCCTCTACAGCTCGTCCTCTTCGGCGTTTCTCAATCCATACCCCTCACAACTATCCCTTCGGTTCAACAAATTTGGGTCCTGCTCGCCCAAATCGTTTGCCGTTTCTTGTGTCCTTGCTAAACAACCCACCGGTCAAATGGAGCTGGAGAAAGTGGTGGTTCAGGATGAGTTGTCGGTTCTTCAGCGCCCCGATTCGCTTGGCCGTTTTGGTAAGTATGGTGGGAAATATGTTCCTGAAACCCTAATGTTCGCTCTCTCCGAGCTTGAATCAGCTTTTAAAGCCTTAGCTACCGATCATGAATTCCAGGTATTGATTGCGAGCTACTTCATCCCGTTTCTGTGAATGCCACAATTTTACAGGACCACTTGCCGATTGATATACCAAGCGTTGGGTGGATGTGCATTTCTATGATTGAAAGTGATAAGATTGTGTACTTATGCATTGTTTTACCAATTGAAACATCTCTCTAATTTTTTTTTGCTTCTTTATAGTAATTGATACAAAAGATGTCCTATTGTATAGTCAGAATCAAACAATTCTTCGATAAACATCTACAACTAAACTTGTGTGTTTAAAGATTTGCATGCTATGGCGTTCAAAAAATTGGCAAATAAGTATAAAGAGTTAAACGCGGTTTCACTGTTTTCTCATTTCATCCAACAAAGTGTTGTTTAGACTAAATATGCAACATTGTGACTAGTAATCATTATAAAAATCCATGTAGTACTACTACAAAAACCTCTCTTTTGGTTCAATTTATGGAGGAATTACTAACTTATGTAATAAACTATGCGAGTGCAGAAGGAATTAGCTGGAATATTGAAGGACTATGTTGGTAGGGAAAGCCCATTATACTTTGCAGAAAGACTTACAGAGCATTATAAACGTCCCAATGGTGAAGGGCCAGAAATTTATCTTAAAAGGGAAGATCTTAACCACACTGGTGCACATAAGATCAATAATGCAGTTGCTCAAGCTTTGTTGGCCAAGAAATTAGGGAAAGAGAGAATTATTGCTGAAACAGGTGCTGGACAACATGGAGTAGCAACTGCAACTGTATGTGCAAGATTTGGTTTGCAGTGTATTATTTATATGGGTGCTCAGGATATGGAAAGACAAGCTCTTAATGTCTTTAGAATGAAGCTGCTTGGAGCTGAGGTTTGTTAAGTTTTTTCAACCTTCCCTTTTATTTATTTTCACAATACATTGCTGTAATAGGATTATAAATGGAGGTTTGTTTCTGATTTGATGATTTCCCATACATAATTACTACTACATGATTTAGGTAAGAGCAGTTCATTCAGGAACAGCCACACTAAAAGATGCCACATCAGAGGCCATAAGGGATTGGGTAACCAATGTGGAGACAACTCACTACATCTTAGGTTCGGTTGCGGGCCCACATCCTTACCCGATGATGGTGCGTGAATTCCATGCAGTAATTGGTAAAGAAACGCGCAAACAAGCAATGGAAAAATGGGGTGGAAAACCAGATGTTTTGGTTGCTTGTGTTGGTGGTGGATCGAATGCCATGGGACTTTTTCATGAGTTTGTTGAAGATAAAGAAGTCAGATTGATTGGAGTTGAGGCTGCAGGTTTTGGGATTGATAGTGGAAAACATGCAGCCACTCTAACAAAAGGAGAAGTTGGGGTGCTTCATGGAGCTATGAGTTACTTGTTACAAGATGATGATGGTCAAATCATTGAGCCTCATTCCATTAGTGCAGGGTAAGTAAGACTGCAAGAAATAGCAATTATTTGTTTTTTCTTTGTATTATGGCACTGCATCAAATGTCTTCATGGATTTTGAATATAATAAGTACACGCATCCAATTACTATTTTTAGTACCTTTTTATTCAATTGGAAAATTCGAACAGGTTTGGTTTGGTTTGGTTTGTTTTTTTTAGGGCTAAAAATGGAATTTTCCCTTTGACCGTTTTGTTTTCCTTAATCTCAAATCATTATTATGGCTTATTGTAGGCTGGACTACCCGGGAGTGGGACCCGAGCACAGCTTTCTGAAAGACTTAGGGCGGGCTGAATATTATAGCATCACTGACGAGGAAGCGTTGGAAGGTACATATTTTATTTTGGGTGAATTACAAGTTTCCACCTTGTGGTTTGTCAAAAGTTACGGATTGGGTCCTTTGCGATCCGTAAAAGATGCATTGGGTCGTTTAAGTATTAATGTTAACACTTATGTCCATGTAAAATGACCTATTTGCCCTTTTTCGTTTTATCTTTCATGTAAAATGAACCTTTTCTTGTTACCTTTGTTCATGAAGATGAATATAGGGGCAAAATGGTCATTTAAACGGAACAGAGTCTAAAATGGTTAAAAAGTTGAATCGTTCAAGGACAGAAAAGGTTAAAAAAAAAAAAAAAAACTTGGTTAATTTTATTAATTGTTTGTGTGCAGCTTTTAAGAGACTTTCAAGATTAGAGGGAATAATTCCGGCTCTAGAGACATCTCATGCATTGGCTTATCTAGAGAAACTGTGCCCTACTTTACCTAATGGCACCAAGCTTGTCCTTAACTGCAGTGGTAGAGGAGATAAGGACGTTCATACTGCCATTAAGCATTTGCAGGTTTGATAACAGTTGTTGTTTATGAGTTGTCATATGTTGAGAAATAATATTATGTTATATATGTTTTGATTTCTTGTTTTGGATATAAACTTCAGCTGTTGGATTTTTCACAAAGTTTCGCTTTGTTCATGTCTTGTTATCCTTCTTTATTCTTCATGTTACTAGTTTGATTTCTTTACCTTTCATGTCAACATGAAAATCCCAACTGAGATCTCAGGTTCTTTGTAGTAATATGGGGTGTTTGAGAAGTGCTTAGTGATTGACTTGTTAGTTTTTCAAAAGTCAAAACATTATTTAAAAAAAATCCTTTATCACCAAATAAGCTAAAAAAACAATTACTTTTATAAGAAATAATTTATTGAGTTAAATAAGCGAATCCCAATCACCCCTTATGTATGTGTAATGATATAAAATTCTTAATTGCATAAAAGATACAAGTCTTTTTGTATTTGGTAAGGAGTAAATTTGAGAAAAATAATTGAGAATGCATCTAAGGTTTTGAAGAAACGAGCTCACACAGTGACTTTCTCGAAGAAATTTGTAAAAATGGGTTGCTTTCTAAAAAGCCTTGCAAAAATTGGGCTTTGGACCCGCATGGGAGATATGATTAATATGAAAGTTACATAAGTGATACTTCTCATTTTACAACTTTAACCTTTTTATTTTTATAATATATTATAATTATATCCTTTACATTTTCAATGTTTAATTTATACCTTCACCATATATATACATATATTATCTTATAATAAAATTAAATTATTAAAACTTTTAGTTTATACCACTAAAATCATGGTGTTAAAAACTTCAAATCAATACCAATATTAAATATAATTAAAATTATATATAACAAATAAATGTAGAATTCATTAGAAATGTATTAATATTAAATGAATTTACAACTATTGCATGTGATTTGTAAAATCCAAAGGTAAGTTATATGCAAAACTACTTCAATGGCAGAAGTCAAAACAAAAATGTCACTGACTCACTCTTTATCTCAAAACTCTTAAAAACTTTTTGTTTATATTATTATAAAATTTTACATTTATTTCTAACATTCCTTGAATATTATTCTCTTCACATTTGCATCATCAACGTTCCATATTTCTCTCATGTTTGAATCATTACTTATTTCATACGTTAAACATAAGGTACATATTTTTATCTAAATATTTTGCATATGTTAATATGTTTGATGTAATGTTAAATTTTGTATAGTAGTTTGCATCGTTTATCCTATGGTTCGTATTGTAGCTACATTCAATAGAATTTTATAACTTTGTAGAAAAACACAGTGATATTGCAATGAATTACAATATACACACCATAACTATATTACAATTTCGCAGTACATATATACCGTGTATGTGGTGTCTCTTTGTTAAATGTGATACTCATATACAAAGTCGTACTTTATTTGAGTTTGACTATAATGAAGGTGTATATAAAATTGTTACAATGTCACAAATAAATAAAACATGTGGAATTATGCATATTGTCGGTATTATCAGCATACGTGCGCATATGGTAAGTGGAAAATGAAAATATTTTAATGTTTGCATGCTCATGCAATTTGTCAAGGGATAACCCTACTTTCATTATAAACATTACACTAGTGATAGCCTGATAGGTATAAACAACGATATGTGCACCTGAGATGTATGGCACATGTACATGATGTAAGCATGAAAACCAAATGAGTTTTTCATACCAATAATATAAACAATAATAAGAAAAAGGGAAAACGGAATACACACTTGTAACGAAAGTGTGTGAAGGCATATATATATAAACCCTGTTTCAACAACATCCGTTATGGACATACATCCCATCCTTTTATGTTTAACAACCAACAATTGACACATTCAAAACTTCAAATAATCACTGAAATAGTATCACTTTGTAACGGTAGGTACTTTTCATTTATGGTGATTAATCAAAGAGTTTAGCTCATTATTAACTAGGGGTAAAATGAAGATGTTTTGGGTAAAAAGGCTAATTTGAGGGGAATTAGCATACTGAAATTTAATTAAGTCGTTAATATTGTTGTTTAGGGATAAGTTCTGAACTTGAAAGAAATAAGACTAATGATTATTTTGAAGAACAAGAAAGGGTTAGGGTGCATTTGGAGTTTTCCATAAAAAATTTGAAAAAGTTTTGGTTGACTCATTTTTCAAAAAATTTATGTTTTCCAAATTGTTTGTAAATTAGAAAAATAATTGTTACGTATTCCAAAGTTTTCTAAATTTCTAAAATAAAAAATAAAAACTCCACAAGTTTTAACCAAACGTATTTTTAAAAATTTTCATTGAAAACTGAAAACTCAACTCAACTCCATTTTTTTAAAACGTTTCTACAAAAATAAAATAACAATTTTCTACAACCAAACACACCCTCAGTCTAGTAGAAAATGTTTAAATTATACAAATTTAACCTTTAATATCCAGTTTTACCGGTTTTCTGACAACTAGGCAACCAATGTGGCAATACGATAATATAGACATATGAAATTCAAACCAGCAAACAAATAATGAAATGAAATGAAATGTTTACCCAAACCTTCAAATCAATGATTTATGAAATCCTAATGCATATGAAAATCCAAAGGAGCAACGCACATCAAATCCCAATTTATTGGGAAATACTAAAAAAGAAATAAAAGCACATAAAAGTTGTTGATATTTCATGTGAACCTGACAACAAAGGCTGCAGAGCTACTTTCGATCTTATCGAATTCCTTTATGACATCTGTTTCCTTCTTTCGTTCTCCTACCTGAGTCTTAGACCAACAGATATTCATCCTCTCCAAAACAGTTGCATACTTCAAAACACGTTTGAGAAAACATATTTCTGAATCAGTAGCATGAAAGTTCTTGAAAGTCACAATCTTGAGGCAATTCGTCATGCATATAGGTACTAATAACCAGACTCTATCTTCCTCACCAAGGTCCATGGAGTTCTCGAAACCCTGTACAAAATTTTAGAAAACCTTATGTTACTATCATATAATCATTGGCATGATAATATAGATTAATCCACCTCGGAGAGACCAAAAAATTGTAGATTTGGACAGAAGTAAAGCAAATTCATCACTGCTCCAAAAGTATAATTCTCGATCTCCTTAGTCAACGTTAAATTGATCAAATTTGGGAAAACCGGTAAATGGAGCGGCATGTCTGTAAATATAAGAGACTTTTTACATGGAAAACAAACAGAACACACAAACACAAAAGTCAGTAATCATAATCATAATCACACAGTCGTAGTATTGTAGAAAGAGGTGAGGTGAGGTGAGTTGTGATATATTCAACTTAAGATGTAGATTAGGTTGTCAATTACCTCCATAGTGACATTAGATAACCCCAAAGCCATAACATTTCGTAGTTGTTTGAGTAGATCAACAGCTCGACATGTGACTTCATTTTGCCTCTCCTCAGGGAGAGAAATGTGAATGTATGCTCTGACAAGGGAAGGTATATCACTCAAGAGAATTTCGTTTGATAGATGTCCGATATATTCAAAACATGCAAGATTTGCTGCAACAATCTTGATCTTACAACCAATATCATCATCTTCTGGCTCAAAGTCCGAGTCATCGAATATGGTCAGGCTTTTTAAGGTGGAAATGGAAATCACAATGTTATTCAAGTGAATCCATTGGCAATATGATAAAACCAATTTTTCTAGAACATGACAGCCTGAGAAAAGTCGTTCTGCATCACCATCATTCAGGAACCCAACATAATCTAGGTGCAGGTTTTTCAGGCATGGAAAAGAAACGTGAGATGGGATTTTAATCCATTCTACTTCTAATTTCAAGCTACTCAATGACATGCTACAAAACATAGACTTAGGAAGCACAGATGAAATCATATCCACTATACAAAGATCAAGCTCCCGAACATTGTGCGAGATTGCATCAGAAATCCATAGTTTTATTTGTGATGCATCAGAGGAAATACGACATATTAGACTGAACTTTTCTAAATTCGATGCATCTCGCATCCGGAGGACCCTTTCTACAAAGTTCATGAAGGAAGTGACCTTAGATGGATGCTTGTCATCAATCTCTCTAGGATACAACACTGCATCATCAATATCAAGTTTAGGAATGGAAACCCAGAGGTACTTCCATCGTGTACATAATATGGAAGTCTTTACAGCTTCTTTTGTATGCATAAATGACAGAATCTGGTGAAGAATACAATCTGGTAGATTGCTAATATGATCCACCATATCACATGAATCTTCAATTTCATGTTGCTTGTTGCCTCTGTATTTACTCATTGGTAGCTTCTTTGGTTTCATAATCACAGCCTACAAGGTGAAATATCAAGTTTAATCTTCTTTAAAATCAACTAAACTGAAAACATTCAAGAAAAGCAAGTTAACTAGATCAGAATGGCTCAAGAAAAAACAATTTAACTAAATCATAACGGTTTAACTGAGCCATAGACCATATCCATTAACTTAAAGTAGGAACATTTCATCACTTAAATGGCCAAGCCAGGCCCTTTTAGGACTCAAAATCGATCTAATGTACCTTCAATTAAGCAAATGAACTTATGAAGAGTAGTCTTTGAGTTGTGCCCTAATTATAAGCTTATCCATGAATGGAAATTATAATTCCTAGACACAACTGAATTTTAATTGACTACAGATTGCAAATCGACAGAAAAGGTGCATAACATACAATATATTGTTAACCTAAATTGATATCTCTACTATAAAAGAAAAAGAAAAAAATATAAACCCTAGAGCAATTGCGCAGGTAAAGCTTACTGAAATCGACACTCTTTATCGACGAATGGTCGAAGTTTGAAATCCACACTCTTTATCGACGAATGGTCAAAGTTTTGAGGGAGGTGTGCCGGAAATTGACATGGCTATTGAGAATTTGAGACCAGATGACATGAAAATGTAATCGAGTTGAAGGGCTTGTTTTATTTCTCCCGCTCCCACACTCTCGCTTTTACACTTGTTTTAGATATAATATTAAAAAGAAAAAGAAAAAAAAAAGATTAATTTATTAAATTTAGTTTATAGAAAAATCGGCAATTAAAACTACCAACAATAAATAGTAATTTAACCATTTTTTTGTGACATCAAACGTACTAACAAATACAGCATAATTTTTTTAAGAATATTTTTGTTATGAGAAATTAAATGACAAAACTGCACAAATGGTCCCTGTAGTTTGCTCAAAATTGCCACTTTGGTCCAAAAAGGTTTTCACTAGCACCACAAATCCAAAATTTTCATTTTGTTGCGAGTTTGATCCATTTTTCTATAAACCTTTTCATAATGACTATTTTGCCATTATATTTTTCTTTTTCAGTTTTTTTATTATTTAAATATTTATTTTGATTAAAAGAAAAAAGAAAATTTTCATTTTCTATTTTATTTTTATAATATTTTATAACAAAATAAAAAAATAAAAATGATCTCTCTCTCTCTCTCTCTCTCTCTCTCTTTCTCTGTGTGTGTGTGTGTGTGTCAAAATGCTTCACCCTATGATACCATTTGAAGAACCCAAACCACCACCAGTGGAGGTGACGACTGAGGAACTCCTCCTCTGAATCTGGAATCGGATCTGGTTCCCACACCACCATTCTCTATATCTATTATATCTCAAATCACAATTCATACACCATCATCGTTGATTTGCTTCACACATCACCATCACCAATTTTGTTTCAAATGCCACTTTTATGAAACCCTAGCACTGCCACCCTTCTCACTGGTCTCTTTTTTGAACATCGATGTCATCGGGAACCCTAGTGTTCACCCCATTCAGAGAAAGAGGAGAAGAGAAGAACACCCATATACAAATCGATTTTTTGGTGATGAATACCCACACACAAATCAAATTCCATAAATGAAAAAACACACACAAACATTGTGATTTCTGTAAACTAAAACATAAAAATGGTTCCAGCTAACTGAAGCTTTAAAATCCATCACAACGTCCTTCAACTGTTGTTCATCCACATGAAAAAGATCGAGATAGAAGAAAATGAAAAGAGATACACATTTGGAGACGAAGATCGAACATATATTGAATAGATTTAGTGCTGTCAGATAACCCTTCTTCTCCGACGATATAAGATCTATGAAAGTGATGAGCTAGGGTTTTCAACAATGATTCTTCTTCTTCGTCGTTGATGTAGAATCCTTCTTCCTCGACACTAGGGTTTCGTAAAGAGGTGGCGGTCCGATTGCAGGAGCAGGGAGGCGCATAACAATGGCGGTGATGGTTTTGCTGCTTCATCCTTGTTTCCAATCTATCTCCCCTCCGATTGAAGATGAAGTATGGTGGAAGATTATGAAGGCAAGCGATGGTGAAATGGTTATGTTGATGAAGGTCAGGGCCTGAAGATGGGGGTGTATTGTCGGCATTCTCAAAGAGAGAGGGAAGAAGGATCGATTGTGAAGAGGGATCGATTTTTGAGAAAAAAGGGGCACACACATGAGAGAGAGGGGGTTTCTTTTTTATTTTATTTTTAATCAGAAAAACATTTAAATAAATAAAAAAACAGAAAAGGGAAATACCAAGGGTAAATCCATCATTTTAAATATTTTTAAATCAAATTGGACCAAAGTCGCAACAAAATGAAAACTTTGGACCTGTGGTGCTAGTCAAAACTTTTTTAGACCAAAATGACAATTTTGAGCAAACCATAGGGACCATTTGTGCAGTTTAGTCAAATTAAATTGCCTCTTATTTTTATGCCTACAAATGATTTTACCTAATCAAATTATGATACGTGTCATTATTTCATATTTTTTTAACTAACTCATTAATGTTATATTAGAAATATATCAAATACAATTAAATTGAATGTTGATTTGTTATAATTTTAATAGATATGAATAATTATAGACATAAAAGGTAAGAAATAATTTAATTTCTCTTTTGTTACACATTATCTTTTACAATTTTTTTTTATCGAATTTGCATCATAAATTTTTGTTTGCAAAACACATTCTGTATTATGTTTAATTCAATTTTCATATGAAACATAAAATACTATTAAAAAAAATATTACTCCCTCCGTCTCAAAATTATAATCTATCTTTTCTTTTTGGTTTATCTCAAAATAATAGTCAACTTTTAAAAATAAATAACATTTTTACCAAAATAATCTTTCATAATTACTTAACCAACTAAACATTTAATATATCTGCTTGATCTTTCAATTTGTGAAAGTTTTGCAAGTCTTATATATTAATATTTTATTGAATCTTATGATTGTTTTACAGGAAATATAGATTATACCTTTTATAATCAATATAATAAATATTTAACCATTCCTTATATCGGGACATGGTAGTATATTAATTTTTTAATTAAATAATCATATTTGATATTTACATGACATTTGAAATGGCTTGCAATCACCACCAACAATGTGGATGTGCTAATTGATTGGGAATTAAAATTCAATCGATTCAACTAAAATACAATCAAATAGAAATTGAAGTTCCTTATCAAATTAACTAGAATACAATCAAATGCTTTTATACATAAAAACATTATATATTCGTAAAAGCTAACAACAAAAGTAATTTGAAATATGTTAGAGGTATATATATTTATATAATAAATCAGTTATACAACAAAGTATAATGTTTTATAATATCAAAAGATCACACACATTATACAACTTAGCATAACTTCTAACAACATAAAAAAATCACTTTAAATTATACCAACTAATAAGTTTGCTTATGTAGTTTTGTATCTTCCAAAGTCGCACCTTTCATCTTTCTCATCTATATCTATACTTATACATACTATATTATAATAGAAACTATTTTCCTCGTACCAACTTCCACTACAACTGAAAAGTCTTTTTAATTAACTAAAAATTAAATACCGATTACAACTTATGAGTTTGGAATTGAACTTATATGTATTTATGATTAGTTATGTATACGTATGATTTCAACATTAAACTAATTAATCATTACAAAACTCAAGAGTTTTTTTACCATATATATAGTTCACAAACACAGTTGAGGTTGTTAGAGTTTAGAAAATTAAATTGAGAAAAAGACGACTTCAATTAGCTAGAGAAAAGAATAATATAAGAACACCAGATGTAAATTTATCTCAAATTCATATGTAAATTTACTTCCATCCACACATATCAATATCGTATAACTAAAGTTACATTGTAAATATCAATAATTTAATTATATATAGTTCAAGATTCACATTGTAAATCTGAAATTGAATTTGAACAGACTGTAAGGTTAAAAAAATTATGTATAAATATTGATGTCTATTGATAGAAAACAAAAAACTTATGAATTTTGTTCTATTTAGTTTTTTCATCAATAAAAAATAATGCCTAAAAATTAACAAAAATGCCAAAAGAAGTGTAGCATAATCGGTCGGGTTGTTCAACTGTATGCTTATTAATCATACGTACTTATAAAGCTAGCATTTTTTTCTTGAATCTCATGCATTTGAAACCCCCATTCTTTTTTCCTTTCACCACATTCATTTGAAACTCCCATGACTTTTCAATTTCTTTATAATAATAATTATAATTTGATAATTAGGTTAAATAAATATCAAATCTAAAGTGTATTCATATATAAACTAAATATCTTTAATTCTACTTATAAGATTATGTTTTTTAACTTTTAACATATTATACTTAATTTGTTAGTTTTAATATATTGTTGGATGTAAACCATTATCATTTTAAAGGTATAATTTTTGAGCAATTTGTATAAAATACTCAAATTATTAATTAAAATATAACATTATAGGCTCAACTTAAATATAAATTTTATTTAACTTAAACAACCCAAAGATTTTTTTTATAAATAGTTAAAAGTGATAAATTATAGTGTCTTTCTAATAATGATTGTAAGTTGGTTAATAAGGTTAAATAAATATCAAACCTAAAGTGTAATCATAAATAGACTAAATTTCAATTTTAAAATAATATATTTACTTCTATTTATAAAGTTATGTCTTTAAATTTTAACATATTATATTTAATTTATTAGATTTAAAATGTTGTTGCATGTAAACCATTATCAGTTTAAAGCTACAATTTTTGAACAGTTTGGACAAAATACTTAAATTGTTAATTTAAATATAACATTACAGTGTCAACTTAAATATAAAGTTCAGTTCCACTAAAAAACCAAATAATATTTTGTAAATAGTTAAAAGTGATAAATTATAGTGATAAATGCAAAAACTAAATTGTAATATCAGTTTAACTAAAATATTTCCTAAATATATTTATATAATCGTTAAAAATTTTCAAATAAGTATCTTAAAATAACTTATAATAACAATAGTTAAAAATAACTCTATATAAATGATTATATTGTTACCTTTAAAATCAAAAAATAATGTTTGATGTTTTAAATAATTATAATGATAGAAATTAAAACATTAAGCAAATAAATTTTAAAAAATTAGTTAAAAATAACAACTATAAATAATATTAAACCATATATAATATTTAATTTTATTGATGTGTAACTCGCGAGTAGAAGTCATTCAAACGATTGAGATTATGACGTTATAATAAATTTATATATTATCATATAATTCAAAATAATCAATATATTATATCAAATTAATATACGAATTATTATATCAAATTTAACAACAATGTTAGTGTTATATTTTAAAAAAAATATATGTTTGTAAAGACTTTAACTATATAGGTGTTTCTGCGCATTACAATGTCAACTCAAATATAAATTTCAGTTCCATTTAAAAAAACTAAAGAATATTTTGTAAATAGTTAAAAGTGATAAATTGTAGTGATAAAAGCAAAAACTAAATTGTAATCTCAATTTAACTAAAATATTTCTTAAATATATTTTTATAATCGTTAAAAGTTTCCAAATAAGTAGCTTAAAATAACTTACAATAACAATAGTTAAAAACAACTCTATATAAATGATTATATTGTTAGCTTTAAAATAAAAAACAATGTTTGATGTTTAAAATAATTATAATGATAGAAATTAAAACATTAAGCAAATAAATTTAAAAAAATTAATAATTAACAATAAAAACAACTATAAATAACATCAAATCATATATTATATTTAATTTTATTCATGTGTAACTCGCGGAAAGAAGTCATTCAAACGATTGAGATTATAAATTTATAATAAATGTATCTATTATTATATATTTCAAAATAATTAATATATTATATCAATTTAGTATATACAAATTATTATATCAAATTTAACAACAACGTTATTGTTATATTTAAAAAACCATATATTTGTAAAGACTTCAACTATATAGGTGTTTCTGCGCACGCGGACATTCGCCTAGTTTAGTATGTTAGCTGTTGTTATTTGTTTGTATAAATGAGGCAAGTGGTGTATCAATTTGTAGATATAATTAATGAAATTGTGGTAATGCTTGATATAAGTTCAAAATATCATTTTATTAGTTATGTCGATACTGATATTGACAGATAGAAGTTCGAGAGATATGTTCGTTTATGGAAGTAACATGTTTAATTAAAGCCATTCGAACTGAACAATATTAATATGGTTTTAATGGATGAAAATATATCAACTTGTGGTAGCTAAGTTTTTCATTTTTGTTTGCATTGGTATATGTTTGCTTTTATTATTATTATTATTATTATTATTATTATTATTATTATTATTTCATTTTTGTTTGCATTGGTATATGTTTTTTTTTATATTTCTTTAGTTTATAATAGACACCATCCCATTCTAGTCATATTTGATTAGCACCACGTGAAAGTTAGATTCCTTATTCTTTTTGTTGCATAAACCAATTTATTTGAACCATTTACGTCTTTAGATTAGTGTATGTTAATAGCCCATGCATTGAAGTTGTAAAAATTTTGTTGAGAAGCAAACCAAATTTTAGTTGAATAGTGGTCATGGAATCATATTTTGGTGTGAACTCAACAATATAGGTTTTGGAGGTCTAAACCGATACTGATGGTTCCAGCTGGGGTTAGGGAACGGATTCAATTTGGGAATCAGTTTACAGGAAAATAATGAGGCATTTGAGGAAAATGTGAAGGTTGGTTCCACTAGGAAAATGACTATTGCGGGGGCGGAAAAGCATTACCAAATTCCAAGTGAGATGGTGAAAAAAAAAAAGAATTTTAGGTGGTGTTATGTGAGATATTGTTTGGATCCATTGTTGGTGATTCTAACAAGAAAATATCGGTAAAAATAAGGGAAAATTGATTAAATGGTTGTGTGAAAAATTGAAGATTAAAAGGATATTTTTAGAAGGTAAAAACCTTTTTTTTTTGGAAAAAAGTGGCCGATAATCACATATGGACATACTGGTGTCCTATATACGCTTAATTAGTTCAACAAAGACTCCCTTTCTTTATTTCCACTACTTCATTCAAATACCATCAATTGAAAAGAAATGCAATAAAGTTATAAGCTTGAACAACATCATATCTAGACATAATATCAAGTGATATCCACAGCAGATTCTGAAAACATCCCAAAAATACAACCTAAAAATTTTTGTTTTTATCGATACCAAAAACCACATCATCCAATTTTATATAATAAAACTATGAATGTATGTTCCAAAATACCATAGTAAATGTATCACATAAAAACCGAGTCAATATCATATCAAAATATCTGAATAAAACTCCCAGGATAAATCTGTAACTGTGGTGTGTGCCATGCCATCAACCCAAGCTCTTCCCCTTGCTAGCGGGAATACCTGAAACCAAAACTGAAACTGTAAGCACAAAGCTTAGTGAGCTCCCCTAAACTACCACATACCATACAATACATATAAAGCACATACTGGGCCTCGCCCACTGCATCGGACCGTAGTCCGGAAACTGCCTCAGACCGAAGTCCGGAAACTGCATCAGACCGAAGTCCGGAACTAACCAGGGCCTTGCCCTCTGCATCAGACCGTAGTTCGGAAACTGCATCGGACCGAAGTCCAGAAACTACATCGGACCAAAGTCCGGAACTAACCAGGACCTTGTCCTCTGCATCGGACCGAAGTCCGGAAACTGACCGAACATAGCATAGTATAAACATAACAACTAGCATAAACACATATACTGCATACTGCATCGAACCAAGGTCCGGAACACATAACAAAAAGACATGCTTGAATCACAAAGACATCAAGCGCGCTGAACTACTACATCGGACCGAAGTCCGAAACTACTGCTAACTAACGAGCCGGCATTGTGGCCTAAGACCCGTTCCTACTGGAAGGAAACTCACCTCGTACTGCTGACTGCTGAGATGCTAAATTTGGAACCAACTGACTACTGCTCCGGAACTCCCCGGCTACAAATCCCATAAACACTAAGGGGATGTTTGGATTGGTGTAATGCTAAGGAATGTAATTGAATTCTATTGTAATTGAATTCTGAAGGAATTGAATTCTGTTGCGCGTTTGACTGCCAGATTTTGAGTTGTAATTGAAATCCATTCTCATGTTTTTTTATGTTTGGATTGATGATTTTTTGAAGGAATTGGAATGAAATTCTATCAAATGACAATAATACCCTTTATTTGTTTTTTTTTTTTAAATTGCTTTATAATTTACATAAAAAAAAACTTCTAAATAAACCAACAATCAAATTTAATACCGATTATAAACATATATAACCTAACAATCAAATATAACTTCCATTCTAGAGCGTTTTTCATACATCTTCCAAAATGATAAACCAAAATAAATACATGTTAGATAAGTTTGGAACATAGATGATATCCATGATATCACAATTTACAAAAATAAGCAAAGTATCTCAAAATGATACATCGAAATACTATGTGGTACATACCATTCTTCCAACATGAGCTTCACAAAAGTTTCACGTTCTTCACCTTCCAAGTTCCAAAAAGTCAACACTGCTTCCGGCTCGCGCATTATCTTTCGACTTGCTTTAAACTTATCCTTTTGATCCATTGATGGAATCTTCAAAATTTCAGCAGTCACCATAGAAGTTTTCTTTTGTAACTCCACTTCAGCATTTAAAGATTGAGACATGGTGGTCGATGCTTCCCAAAGATCTTTGCTAAGTAACGCAGTGGCTTTAGATATTCCCTCAATGAAAGAATCAAATTTATTTTTCCTTTTCTTAGTACTAGCACTTGAAGTTTCCTCACTTTGCCCATTTTTTGTAGGTGAAATTTCCACACTTTGCTCATTGAAATCATCTTCCATTTGCAATAATTCTTCTTCCACATTTTCATTATGTGTCATATCCTCACAATTTTCGGCTCTATTCCCTTGAGCCTTATCTTTTCCAAAAATAATGCACAAGTCATCATAATGAGGAAGCGATTTATTTCTCCATTTTTCAGCTCCTTTATGCACCTATCACATGCAACAACAAATTATTATTTTGAACAAGAATAATAACATATCAAAGATATATATTAAACATACCTTTACATAAGAATCCCAAACCTCAGGTGATTCAACTGTTCCACATCGATTAACACTATCATAACCAAACCCACTTGTGTTATTACCGGTGATCATGTCATAAACAACCTGTCACTCTTTCTTCATAGTTCTGATTCGTGACTCAATATGAGGTTTCGCCAGAATACCCGCATTCGGGAGTGAATCTTTCAATGCTTGTCCCAAATGTTGTAAATAACCAGATTTAAAACCATTATCGACTTTAAACCCACCCGCATTTACCATATTTAACATCGCCTCCACAAGCTTAGCATCTTCATGTGTTGTCCACGTCCTATAATTTCGACTTTTTTCAACCATACCTACAAATAAACTACAATTATAATATACAAAAAACCAAAAAAAACACCAACTTACTAAAACAAGTATCACGAGACTTTTGTACCATACACACAAAAAAAAACCCATCATCACAGTCAACTAAATACAATACAAATAGCAAATTGATAAGGTTCAAATAAACTACAATATAATAGTAATAACGTACAAATAAACGACAAATAAAATACAAATAACAGAGTAATAAGGTGCAAATAAACTACAAATAACATCAGTTTGTTGTATTCCAAGAATCAAACATTGTTTGTGTTAAATTATCTCTAAACGTAGTCCATTCGTCTGAAGTCCCGATGGTTGTGACATTATCATCATTTCCACCCTCATTGTTGCCGGTTCCCTCATCTGGTGAAGCATTGTCTTCAAAAGGATCAATTGCCATTTCTTGCCTTATATAATTATGAAGAAGATAACATGCCATTATGATTCTATTCTTTATTGTAACCGGATAATACAAGTTATCTCTTAAAACTCCCCATCTTGCCTTTAAAATACCGAAACATCTTTCTATAACATTTCGTGCAGAAGAATGCCTCATATTATATAATTCTTTTGGAGTGGTTGGTTGATGTCCATCACGCCAATCATTCAAGTGATACCTTTGACCTCTATAAGGGGCAAGGAAACCTTCTCCGTCAGCATCTACTAAGTAATAGCCTAAACATACATTATAGTTAATATAAAATGGATGTGTAATTGATAGTTAATTCATTATTGATAAGTACCTGGTCTTCGAATTTTTAATCCACTTGGTCTTAGAAAGGCATTTCTAAGCACTTTACTATCAGCAGTTGATCCTTCCCATCCCGGTAACACATAGATAAATTGCATGTCTTGTGAACAAACCCCCAACACATTTTATATCATTTTTTTCTTGTTCTATACCTAGGTTTATCTTCAAGTGGCACTAAACACTTTATATGTGTTCCATCTGAAGCCCCTAGACAGTTCTTAAACCACTTGCATCTTTGATCCGTAGAGTCTTCAGTAATAGTTTCGGGTCTCTTAAGCAAATAAGGATGCGATCTTATCACCGCATGACATACTCGACTGACAAGTCTACTAATTGTTTCTCCCGAACGATGAAAACGACAAGGACTTGATTGTTAACATTATGTGCAATCATGTGAAGGAATATGGCAACTTGTTCATCAACATTCATATATCTAGTTGCTTTTAACCCACTTAATGTTTCTAGCATGCAACACAATCTTGCAAAACATCTCCTATTCATCCTAAGTTGTGATAAACACATGCTGTGGCTCGCATAAGCATATCTATGCAATATGGTGTATCAATCGGTATGTGATGATATACCCCGAATACATACTCTACCGCTTTTGTATTTGGCTATCAAATTGCATAAGGTAATAAAAAACCATACAACCGATACCATAACTTGGTTCCAATATGCCACAACAACTTTCCTTCTCCCTAACCTACGTCTACATGTTAAACTAAGTCGAGACATAACCTGTAACAAATTCAAGTAAAAATATAAAAAAAAAAGTTCATTAACCGGAATTCAAAACCCATTTTGTAATCAGATAAAAAACAAAAACTAACAAGGTCGACAATTTCCCATGGACTTTTTCCAAGAGTTGGCGTCGCCGGCTTTTTTCCAAGATGAAACGACCCAAAAATATGACCCAAAAATTTCGTTTTTCAATATAACCAAAACCATAATCTGAGTGTCATATCATAAAACCATACGTGATGTATCCCAAATATAATAAAAACACTGTGCGGAAAGCTGTATCATACTATGTCAAATCAAAACAAACTAAATCAATTCCCAGGATAAAAGCTAAAGCTGTGGTGTGTGCGATGCTATCACCCCGAGCTCTTCCCTTTGCTTGCGGGAGTACCTGAAACCAAAACTGAAACTGTAAGCACGAAGCTTAGTGAGCTCCCCCAAAATACCACATACCATACAACATATATATAAAGCACATACTGGGCCTTGCCCGCTGCATCAGACCGAAGTCTGGAACTAGCTGCATCGGATCGAAGTCCGGAACTGACTGGGACCTTGTCCCCTGCATCGGACCCGAGTCCGGAACTATCTGCATCGGATTGAAATCCGGAACTAACTGCATCGGATCGAAGTCCGGAACTGACTGCATCGGACCGAAGTCCGGAACTAACCGATCATGGCATAGCATAACACATAACACTATCATAATCACATATACTGCACACTGCATCGGAACAGAGTCCGGAACTCATAACACAAACATGCTTGTATCACAAAGACCTCAAGCACCCTAACTACGGGAAGGAAACTCACCTCGTAAACTGGCTGCTGAGTGTAAGACTCTGGAATCTAACTGCTGCTGCTCCGGTATCTCCCCGGCTACAAGTCCATAAACACACTCAATCAAATACTAAACATTGCACTTGGGTAAAATGACTCTTTTACCCTTGGTCACAGTCAACTCTCATTTGACCTGACTCGCCGAGTTGGGCCGCCAACTCGCCGAGTCTCTACTCTCCCACCTCAACCCTACTCGTTGCTACTCGTCGCGTATGGCATCGACTCGACGAGTACCCTCTCGATCCAAGAACTCAGACAATCTTCATCCGACTCGCCGAGTCATATGAACAACTCGACGAGTTGTTCTTGAACTTAAGAAGATTGCCTTGGACTCGCCGAGTTGTATGAACAACTCGCCGAGTCCCTTCATTACTGAGTCTACCCTCGACTCGCTGAGTCCACCCTACTACTCACTGGTCCCACACGACAGACACCGCTCAAAAGGAAGGAATCGGGGACTCGCGACTCGACTCGCCGAGTCACCGCCATGCAACTATTCTACACTCGTTTCTGCTCGAATCCAGAACATACAAATGATAGATCTGAGTCCAATAAGCTGGTTTACCACGTAAAGTTTCCAACTTTACGTGCACAAACACATGAATAAGGGAATAAAGGCTAAAAGATGCCTAAAGGAGGTAGATCTAGGTCTAATATGCAAAATGGCTCCAAAAAGGCAATAGATCTGGGCTCTACAACTCCTAAATATACAGATCTAAAGATATCTCGGCATAAGAAGGCTTCCATATCAACACAAAGCTTGAGAAAAGGCACCGACTAGATCTCAAAAGGGCTTTTAAGCATAAAAAGGGAAAGAAACTAGAAGAATACCTCAAAGAGCTCTTGCTTTCCCTTGAATCTCTGCTCTACAATCCTTCTTCTTGCTCCTTTCTTCTTCTCCTTCTTCAAACCTTCACAAATGCACACAAAAATCACTTACAAACACTCAAGGACGAATTAGGGTTTTTCTCACAGCTTCTGAGGGTGAAGGAGGCGAGAATGAGGGCCATAAGGTGGCTTAAATAGTGGGCAACCCGGGGATTTAGGGTTTCTCCCAGACGGACAAACTCGCCGAGTCCGGAATATGGATTCGCCGAGTCTCCAGCTAACACGTGCTCGAAATCCCGACCCTACTCGGCGAGTCAGGCTATGAACTCGCCGAGTCCCTCTTGCAAAACTTCAAAACAAATACCAAGGAATTAACATACCGGAAACGGGTCGTTACACAAGAGGCATCAATTTTCCCGCCAACAGAGAAGATGACGAAGAAATAGAAAACATGAAGAAGAAATCAGAATGAACATTGTGATGGAGATTGGAACGATTTGAAGGAACCAATTTGAAGGAGCCGATTGGAAGGATCTAATTACCGAATCAGACTGAATGAAGATGGCGAAGAAATTAATAGAAAACATGATGAAGAAATCAGATTAACATACCTATATGATGAATGAAGATGACGAAGATGGCAAGGATCAGTTCGTTCGCTGGAGTTCGGTCGCTGGATTGGAAGTTGTCCTTCACAGAAGGAAGAAAAGAAAGCGAGCAATAAACTGGAATTAGGGCTGCGTTCTTTTTTTTTTTTTGATGAAAGGAAAGGGGTATTTTTGTCTCAATAAAATATGGAACACGCCTTGTATTTGAAATCTTCTCTCATATCCAAGGAATCTTATTACACTAGAGAAGGGCATGTTATTTTCATTTAGTAATTCAATTCCTTATAAAAACCTAGCCAAACACACTTTGTAATCGGAATTCAATTCCAATTACAAAGGAATACAGCCAAATACGTCACAACAAACACGCCCTAAGTCAAAATACTGGTAAATACTCTCAGGGTAAAATGACTCTCTTACCCCTACTCAAATTCAGAGTCAAAGTCAAGGTCAACCATTTCCAGTTGATCCTACTCGTCGAGTCCTCCTACTGACTCGCCGAGTTCTCAAGCTCTTAACAAATTCTACTCACGATCCGACTCGCTGAGTCACCTCCTGACTCGTCGAGTCTCTTGATACCGAAAGGTGACTCGACGAGTCTCCTGATACCGAAAGGTGACTCGACGAGTCTCCTGATACCGAAAGGTGACTTGACGAGTCTCTTGACACCGAAATCTGATGCTAGTCACGACTCGACTCGCCGAGTCATGCCATGACTCGCCGAGTCTCCCTATTTCCAAATCCTGTCTTGTTCTACTCACCGAGTCCTTCCTAGACTCGATGGTTTAACCCAGTAACTCGACGTAACCCTAAATTCAGGATTCACGACCAGAGTCGCCGAGTCATATGAACGACTCACCGAGTCCTAACATGCAATCACCATACAATCGATTCTAGACCGATTCAGCGCATCCAATTCATAGATCTGTGTTTCTAGGACTAACATAACACGTAAAGTTGCTAACTTTACATGTACTCATGATGTAATGAAGCAAGAACACTAAAACTTGGCTATTATGGAGGTTACTTGACTAGAACAAGGTTATGGCTGCCAAAAGATGGTTCTACTGAGCTTCTGGAGCACAAGAGAGACTAGATCTGAGACATGAATCGACTACAAAGCTCCAACACTAAGGATTTGTGGTTTTTGAGCTCCAAAACCACCAAATTGGGGACAAACTAAATCTATAAGTTCAATAACCAAGATGGAAGCTTTATTACCCGAAGTTAAAGCAAATGAAGCCTAGAATCTGGATCTCCTTCCTTTCCTTGGGACCTTCTCTCCTTCCTTCTCTTCTTCAACACCAAAATGCACACAAAACACACTAATTAGGAAGAACTCACTCAAACTCAAAAATGGTGGGCTAGGGTTTACAGGGATAGACGTTCTGAAGGTGATGGAGGCTTGGAAAGGGGCTATAATAACGTTTAAATAGGGTGCAAACCCCTGAAATTAGGGTTTCTTTCAGGCTGGCGGACTCGCTGAGTCAGGGTACAACTCGTCGAGACGCCCATTAAAGACGCATGCAAATCCCGTCTCTACTCGACGAGTCGGGCTACTGACTCGTCGAGTTTCTCTTAAGAATAGAAATACAATTTTTTATTCACATACCAGAAATTGGGCGTTAT